GTCTGGTGTGGAAGATGTACAATAAAAGAAGTAATTACAATAAAAAATTTGGTTAAGTCCCATGATTAAAAACAAAAACAAAAACAAAACCCAGAGATCTGAAAACCAGTAGAAATATCTCGATTCTTTTTCTAGCACATCTCATTTCTTATTCTAGAATACAGGAGTGGGTAGAGTCAGGTTGGGGGAGGAAGAAGTATTCTACTAGGCAGAGGGAACTGCTCCGCAGAACATCACTTGTTCGGGGAACTGGAAGGAAGTCAGGCTGACTAGGTGTACAATGGGAGTTGGGGCCGCAGAGACGGGCAGGCACCAGCTATTTCTAGACCACTGGTTTTCAAACAGCAGTCATGACATCAATCTAGTAAGTTATAACCTGCAGTTTTTAATGTAATGGAATAAAATATATTGGAGTGTAGCGCACATAGTAAAGGCACATTTTGTTTTTTAAAAAAAAACTTCTGTTTAGGGATGTGGACATACACGTGTTTTAGGTCACAGTATAAAAGATATTTTTTACTATGGTCATGGTCAAAATGTTTGAAAGTCAGTGCCTCTGCCACATAAAGGAGTGAACTTTAGCCTAGAGGCAAACCATTTTGGAGACAAACCACTGAGAAATTTAAGCTGGAAAATGGTATGATCAGATCTGTGTGTGTGTGTGTTGTTTTTATATGTTGTTTTAGAAAGATTCCTCATGCAGCACGTGGAGGATGGATCAGGGAGGGACAAGACTGGAGCCAGGAACCCGTTAGTTGCCTCTTTTTCATGTAGGCAAGAACCACTACAGAAGTGCTAGAGGAAAGGAGGGCTGAATGGACGGGATTTGGTAACTGATCAGCTGTGAATATGGTGAGAGAGGAGGAGGAATCAGGCTAGTTCCTACCTTGCTCTGATGGTGACATACGCCACTCACTGGGCTAGGCAACCAAGGATAGGGACGGAGAGTTAAAGTCAGTTTTGAAATGTTTCTATTGATGTTAATTCAAGACGTAAAAGTGAATTTGATCAGCAGCAATGGGTTAGGTCGCCCTTCATCCCAGAGGAGAGGTCTGGGCCAGAGAGCTGACTGAGTGTTAATAGGGGACTAATGTGACAGTCCTCACTGAAGCCACAGCAGTTGACATGCTCAGAAAGAGGGTATAAAGAAGAAAAGACTTAAAGGATGAACAGAGAAAAGGAAATCTGGCAGAGGTGACTGAGAAGGTGCATCCACAGATAGGAGGAAAACAAGAGAATGTGGTGTCTGAGAAGCAGTGAGAAAAAAGTGTTTCAAAAAGTAGGGAGTGACTCGGGCGCCTGGGTGGCTCAGTTGGTTAAGCGACTGCCTTCGGCTCAGGTCATGATCCTGGAGTCCCGGGATCGAGTCCCGCATCGGGCTCCCTGCTCAGCAGGGGGTCTGCTTCTCCCTCTGCCCTCTCATGCTCTCTGTCTCTCATTCTCTCTCAAATAAATAAATCTTTAAAAAAAAAAATAAAAAAAAAAAAAGTAGGGAGTGACTCAAGGATAAGAAAACACAACCTGATTTAAAAATGGGCCAAACACTTGGACAGACAAGTCACCAAAGAAGATGGACAGATGGTAAATATGAAAAGATGCTCATCATACATCATCAGGGAACTGCAAATTAAAATCACAAGCAACCACTACGCATCTGTCCATTAGCAGGGCAAACCTCCGGATTATGTACACCATGCTGCCCAGGATGCGGAGCCAAGGGGACGCTCGCTCACCGCTGGTAGGAATGCAAAGTGCGGCAGCCACCTTGGAAGACAGCTTGGCGGTTTCTTACAAAACTAAACCTACTCTTCCATTCAATCCAGCAATCACACTTCCTCCTATTTGCCCAAAGGAGTTGAAAGCTTAGAACCACATCAAAACCTGCACACAAAGTTTACAACAGTTTTATTCATCGCTGCCCAAACGTGGAAGCAACCACAATGTCTGGTGAGCAAATGGATAAATAGGGTAAATCCACACAATGGAATGCTACTCAGCGTTAAAAAGAAATGAGCGACCAAGCCCCCAAAAGCCAGAGAGGAACCCTATGTACATATTACTGAATGAAAGAAGACCACATACCGTGGGATTCCAACTACTATATATGACATTCTAGAAAAGGCAAAACTAGGGAGACAGTAAAATGATCAGTGGCTACCAGAGGTTGGGGGAAGGGGTCAACAGGTGCAGAGGATTTTTCGGGCAGTGAAATTGCTCTGTATGAGAGTATAATGGTGGATACATGTCATCATATATTTGTGCAAATCCACAGAATGGACACCATGCTAACGGAAACTACGGAATTTGGATGATAATCTGATGTAGTGTCGATGTAGGACGCAGGATGCTTGACTGTAACAAATATGCTACGTTGGTGGAAACCGATTGTGGGGAGGCTACGAGTGAGGGGACGTGGGTATATGGGGACTGGCTGCACTTTCTGTCCACTTTTGCTGTGAACCTAAAACTGCCCTAAAAAATAAAGTTTATTTTTAAAAAAGGGTCAGTGCTAAGTACTGCTGGGCAGTCATGAAGATAAGGACCGAGGACCCCCAGCGGATGATGACAAGGATCACTGATGACTGGCCAGAGCGAGCTGCTGGACCCCATCTCTGCTGCCTTTTATAGTAAAATTGGGGATGGCTGTGCCTATTTCTTTTCGCCATTTCCCCTCCATTCCTTTTCTGTCATGGCCACACAAATTAGGTTTGTGCTCCTGCCCCTCCACTGAAACCGTCTTCCAACGCCGTCGCTGATCTCCACCTTCCCGAATCCACAGCTCCCGCTCATCTTCTCTCACCTGTCAGCAGCTCCTGGCAGAGTTCCTCATTCTCTCCTCCTTGAAACATTTTCTTCCTTGTTTTCTAGGACGGCAGCCCCTCTGGCTTACCTCGCCAGTGATTCCCGTGCCGATCTCTCCTCATCTTCCTGATCTCTGACCATTAGTGTGGTCCGGAGATGAACCCCTGGACCCCTTCTCTAAAATCACTGCCTATAAAGCGATCCCATGTCAGAGCTGTAAATATTATCTATACACCGATGATTCACAAATGTACATCCCTGGCCCACAACTCCCAGCTAAGCTACAGCCCTATATTCAACTGCCTACAACAGATCTCAGCGTAGAGGTATAATGCGCATCTCAAACTAAATGATCTAAAACATCTCTCCAAAACTAAGTATTCTTCCTTAGTCGTCCCAGTCTCAGTCAGCAGTAAATCTATCCTTCCAATTGCTCAAGCCAACACCCCTGGAGTTACCTTTAGTGACTCTTTCTCTCACATCAAATTCAACATAAATGCTGTTGGAACCAGACTGCCTAGGTTCAAATTCTAGTTTAGCCACTTCGTAGCTGTGTTATCTTGGGGAAAATTGCTAACCACGTCCTGGCTTCAGTTTTATCACTGCAACATGGGGGTGATAGACTTACATATCTCACAGGGTTGTTGTAATAACAAGACAAGTCAATGTTTATAAACTGCTTTGAATGGTGCCTGCCACACAGTATGGAGTATCTCTTCAATCTGACCACTTCTTACCATCTCCACCTCCACACCCAGTCTGGGAACGAGCCACCAGTATCTCTCATTTGGATGATTGCAAAAGTCTCCCTTCCTTTAGCACCTAACCCTTTTAACCAGCAGAGCAGCCAAAGTGGTTAAAAAAAAAAAAAAAAAATCGCAGTCACATGCTTTTGACTTTTTTTTGTGTGTTTGAAAAGTTAAGGAAAAAACCAAAGTCAGATTGCATCATTCTTCTGTCAAAACCCTCTGATCCTTTGAATTTAGCTCAAAGTAAAAACTCAGGTCTTTCCACTGACTAGGCCCTAAAAGCAAGTTCTCTCTCACCTCTCTGCCCTCATCTCTCTTGTCCCTGTCACTCCTTTCAAGCACAGAGGCCCCCGGCCTGTTCCTTAAACACTCCAGCACACTCCCTCCCGGGGGCCTCTGCACTGGCTGCCCCCCCAGCAGGAAAGCTCAGCCTCAGGCCACACGGCTCATTCCCTCACCCTCCTTACGTCTGTGCTAAAATGTCACTTTCTCAGTGAAGGGGGTTCCCTGGTCGTACCTTTTCAAATAACCTCCCACCCACCAGCCCTGACCCCCTTCTCTACTTTATTTTTCTCGCAGCCCTTATCATTATCAGACACACTATTAAACCATTAAAGCTAAGGAGACTGGAAGTGAAATATAGAAAAAGTTCCCCCTATTTACTCTAAAAGGCACTTCCCATGTGCTTATCATACACTCTGTATGTCGTTCCTTAAACTGAAAACATATTTAGGTAAAACGAATGAGACTGCTTACTGCACGGTCTCTGAGCTGTTCCTATCTCATGTGCACAGAAATGGTGATGAAATACTGTAGGTTCTGGGTATCTGGCGTCTGGAGTGTTACATCTTTCCAAGAGCTACTTACTCTACTGCCCACTCATTTGAAAAACACTTTTTTATTTGAGTCTGGGGGGATACAGGTCACGGAAGTAGGAAATGTGGCAGCAGCGAGACTGAGACGCAAAGTCCGCTCCATCCTTGGCATTCACTGCCACATTTCGGCGGGGCCCCAGTAGATGGAAATACTATCATGAAAAAGAGTGGGACGGGGTGAAACAGGAATATTTATTGCCTTGCAACTATGTGATGGGCCTAACGACTCTTTCCACAGACTATTTAATTTAGTCTTCAGAGTAACGCCCTCACAAAACTGCCAGCCACTTACGGGGGAGGAAACCAAAGCTCACACAGACTTAGCCATCAGCCACACAACACGAGTAGCTATAGGCGGAGCTTAGCGCCGAACTCAGGCCACCTCAGCGGGGGCCACCGGACGCCACAGCCCGTACACCGTGCTCCTGGAGAACCTTGCTTCCGGAGGCGCCAATTCAGCAAACTGGAGCTAAGAAGGTTGTTAAGTGGGTCGTTTATACTCTGTCACCCAATTCCTGCGAGAACTCAGCATCTGTGAACCCCATCACTGCTATGTGCTGGTTAACTACCTTACCTGTGGACATAAAAAATGGGATGCGGAACTTTCCACTCAACACCCGGGCCCGCAGATTCTGCAGTGTGCTCCCATCAAATGGCAGGGCACCACACACAAGCACATAGAGGACGACTCCAAGGCTCTGCATCCCAAACAGAGAGTACATACAATTAATCGCATCAGAGGAAACAAAAGAGGCCATTATATAGTATGTGTATGAAGATGATGGTGAGTCATGCACAAGATAATGGAACTAACTTTTTCTTCTTTCTTTGTGAGAAATAATATGAGGCATTGTCAAGGCCAATCATCTTTAGGATAGTTAACATTCTTCTTTGCTTCCAGACATTAATTTTGGGTAACATATCTAGAATTTCTCTCAGCACTCATCCTCGAGGGAGAAGGCAAGTGGCAACAACAGAAAGAATCTCTGTTCTTGGCAAGGGCACCCATCCAAGCTTGCTCTTGGGCTTTTTTTTTTTTTGCAGCTGCAAAAGGGGAAGTTTGAAATCTGTGGCTCGGTCCCTAAGACAAGAGCTAGAGGAAAGACTCTGCACAAGGAACTGGGAATTCAAAGCACAGGGGTCAAGGTGTCAATTCGTGTGCAGCATTCAATGTCCCCCAGGGTGACGGCGCTGTTCCCAGTGAAGGAGAACCAGCAGCCCGGGGGCTGAGAGAAGACAGTACATACCCAGATGTCCACTTTGGGCCCGTCGTACTCCTTTCCCTCAAAGAGCTCAGGTGCAGCGTAGGGAGGGCTGCCGCACCAGGTCTTCAGCAGCTGCCCAGGAGTGAACAGGTTACTGAAGCCAAAATCTAGAAAGACAAACGGACATACCTCACGTTACTAGCTTCTAGTCACTGAACAAAGGCTCTAGAGCATTACATTTGAGCATCCAATGTGAAGAGAAACCATTTAGAAATTCTCCAACCAGCCACTGGAACATAACATAATAGTGAAAGGGAGATACAGATGAGCTGGAATGCCAAAGACCCCTGGTTAACTGAAGTACACGTGACAGGTTTATGTCAGCAGAACCAACACTGTTCCCTGCAGAAAGCCACATTGAGGGAGCCAAGCGTGCCTGTTGCTTTCAGACCATAGGTGACATTGGATAGTGACTGATGTTAAGGCCACACCAGAATCAGTAACTACCTGAAAACCTGCTCACCTGGACCCAGACTTTTCCTATTATTTTTACTTCTTAGGACAAACACATTTCCGACCACTAGAGACACATGGACTTGAAAATTTAGGTAAAGTGACATTATTATCATTAAGGTAGCTTATTCAAAAGGAAGAATAGGCAATTTCTTTACACACTGAAACAGGAATATTTACAATTAAACTCCAAGTCCCTTTGTGCTTCAGCTTCCCCCCTACTTTTCTTCCCCTCCCGCTATTTTAGGAGAGAGCAGATGAGAGACAGGAGAGGGGAGGTGTGGAGAGGAAGGCTCAGAACATGAGCAAAGATGGCAGGCCAAAGGACAGAGAGTTGCTGACTTCTGAATACTTTCATGTATGTAAGTATTTACGGGAATAACTCGTCTGGAAGCCAGCCGACTCCCTCCTGCCCCAGGCCTACCACATTCCCTGCGGTGACAGTGCCTGAAAAGGCTAGGCGCCTCCTTACCCTCCCCTCCCTAGTGTTACTGCCCTGGACAACTCGGTCTCCATTTGCTGTTTGCTTTACTCCTTTCTCCTTCTATACCACGTGTGTTCTTGTAAGGCCTGTGCTGATTTTGTCTCTCTCCTTGCTCTAAGGCTGACTCTTCTGGTCCCAGAGCTTCCGTTATCATTTGTTTGGTAATAATTCTCCAAGTTTCTATCCCTGGTCTTGGTACCACTCTTAAATTCCTGAACTTCTAATACTTACCTGGGAAGAAAGAGCTCAAACTCGCCATCTTCCGAAAACGAATCTGTTCTATTGCTCATGTTCCCATTAATGTTCGTTAATGGCATTACCATCCCAGCTATTGGGAGCACTGGAGTCTCCCTTCTCCCCCTCATTTCCCATTCCCAACTGGTAATAAAACTTTTCCTGCTTCTACCCCGTGTGTCCTGAATCTATTTCCTTCCTTCTATTTCCATTCCTACCAGCTCAGCTCATATTCGTGTTCTCTCCGACCGAGATCACACATGGCTCACTACCTCCAATTCATTTCCCTCTAGGCCATCCATTCCTAGCGTGGGGACAGTCAGGCTAATCATGTTGTGTCAACTCCTCACTCAAAAACACGGGGGGCTCCCATCTGCTCACAGAACAGTCTAGCCCTCTGAGCCTTGTCCTTCAAGCTCCTCCACGGCCCAGCCCCACCCACCTTTCCAACTTTCCCCAGCCCGTCTAGCATTGCTAGACTACTCTACATTTACGTTCCTTCCTTCGGCTACTTCCTCTCTGTGCCATGCCTTTTCCTTTCTTTTTTTTTTTTTTTTTAAGATTTTATTTATTTACTTGAGAGAGAGAGAGCAAGCACAAGCAGGGGGAGTGGCAGGCAGAGCGAGAGGGAGAAGCAGGGCAAGGAGCCCGATGTGGGGCTCGATCCCAGGACCCCTGGATCATGACCTGAGCCGAAGGCAGACGCTTAACCGACTGAGCCACCCAGGCACCCCGGCTTTTCCTTTCTTTCCCACATTTGAAAGATCACTCATTTCCAAGGCCCAGTCAAATATTACTTCCTGTATGAAGCCTTAACTGATTTCCACCACAAAAGACTATGTCAATGGCTTCCTCCTCTGTGCTTCCGTAGCCCCTCGTTATACCTCTATACCCCACGACTCTGCCTTATCTTATACTTAGTTATATAATGTGCTTATGCCCTCCACTAGCGGGGAGAATACAGCTGGACTCACCCGTTTCCACACAGCGCTTTCATACACAGCAGGGACTCAAGAAAGGGTCACTGAATGAAATGGCAATAAAATCACTAGGCCAAGCCTCCCGTCCCTTTCTGGCTCCTGGAGCCTTCTCATCCTTACAACGGCAGCCGGCCAGCCACTAGAGCCTCCACCTCCTAGCTCTCAGCCCACAGTTCTAAAATTAACGTCATGATCACAGGGGCTTAGAGGTCAGGGCCATCGTTAGAAACACTTACAGCTACTTCTATAAGAAATCGAATATTCTCTTTCGTCAGTGGGAAATAAATGCCTCTTCTGCTAAGTCTTCCTGGATCTCCTACAAGAAATAACCTCTACCTTCTCTGTACTCCCCTATTACTTTGTATTTCTCCCTTATTTTGGTTATTTCCACATACACACATGCTATCCTTTTAGCTCCTGAAAAACATACACTCTCTCTAGTTCCTTAAGAATACCTTATTCATCTCCGACTCTCTCAAATTATATTGGATATAATGGTGTTTAAACACAACAGGTACTTACGAAATGTCAACTATGAATGCAACTGCATTTAAAGCTCTACCAACTAACCTACAACTTTTGAAACCCAATAGCTTTAATTTATACTAAAGTCTGCATGTGCTGAAGCCTGTTAAGATGTTTCTTCCTCTGACCCTCCCCCCTCTCATGTACTCTCTCTCATTCTCGCTCTCTCAAATAAATAAATCTTTAAAAAAAAAAAAAGATGTTTCTTCCGAGAGTGAAGATAGGTTGTTAAAAATCCTAACGAATGAGATTCAGCAAAGCAGATGTCTTTGGGAATTTTCTAGAAAGAGGACACTTAATTGTTTTGTTCTGTTTTAACCAGCTTGCACACTTCTTCATCAGGTCCTTTCCACGGGTGGCCTTCCTCTGCTCCACAGGGAGGAGGCACGCAGATGGCATCTGCAGTAACGTATGCACTCTGACATTAGTGGGACTGCTTAGCAAAGTCCAGAAGACAGAATCATGGAGTTTGTTGTATTTTGAATGGAAAACACAAGAGGCCAAGCAATTAATTAAAAGTAGTAGGTTTAAAATTTCCCTAATAAGCAGCTTAAAATATGTAGGACATTTCTCATTTTGAACTATGGATGCTCCATCTACAATTACCAACCTTTAACCTCTTTACTCTGCTGGGGAGGGGAAGGCACAAACTTAATGGCCATCAGTGTGTTTATTCTATCTACCAAACAGGAAATCTTTACTAAGGAAACAATCTCAAAGGGAACCACCTTCAGTGGGGGCTATGAGCTTAGATTGCTATGAGGCGCTGATATGAGAACTGAGCATGCAAGAATGAACGATATGATCGGGGCCTGACAACCACAGGGATCCACATCTGGGGAAGCACCTGCTTCAACAGCATGTTACAACCAGAGGGCTGGCTTCAGTAGCTAGACCGATGACCAACAGCAAGATTTCAGTAAGATTCAACAACCGCCCCCCCATCTGCTTGCCCTTGTTTCCTATTACACACCAAGCAGAAATCCTCTAGTCTTGCAAACCTGTCAAGGGGTCTCCCGTAACCACTCCACATGCTGTTCCCACTCCTAACTGCACATTTAAGCAAAATCCACCTCTCCTTGCCTGCTATGACACTTTATTTTTTTCCCATTAAAGCCAGCTTCCTCCAATGAACGATCCTGGGTTATCCCAATTCACTCTTCAATGTACCAAACCTAACAGAATATGACCCACCCTCCCTCTTCAATCCACGTATTACTGTAAATTCACAGCTTCACCGAAAGCAGACTGCTGCCGCATCCTCCCTGCTAGCCTCCTCACAAGTATTTCACGCGCGTCTGCAGGATGCTGTGTGGCTTGTAAGTTACAGCTCTGGCTAGCCCACTGTCCATTCACCGATAACGTAACTTATTTCCTGAAAATTTAAGTTACTGATGTGGGAGAAACCTCAAGTTATTAACATACTAAATCTGGAACTCATTTTGAAAGTTTAGTTCCTTCTAATCTACACTCTGGGGACTGAATAACTAGATTGGGAAGAATACCTCCTCTTTATTCTCTTAGCTGCTTACCTTTGAGGGGCATTTTGCTACACATTTTAAGAAGACTGGAAGGAAAAAATGAAAGCAGTTGAAACTCAAACCAGCCTATTTTGGGTTCTGTTGGTAGTTTCAGGAAGTAACTCCCCACTGCTCGGTTGTTGTGGAAGAGGCATGGGGCAGGTGGGGACACTCTCTCACCCTTGCTCCACACATGGCTTGTTTTTACTCAGATTTTTGTTCTCTGGCCTTATTGAGATAAATGTCATATTCCATAAAATTCACCCACTTAAGATGTACTGTTCAGTGGCTTTTAGGATTTTCATAGAGTTGTACAACCATTACCTCAACCAATTTTAGAGCATTTTCATCACCCTAAAAAGAAACCTTATACCCATCAGCAGTCAGTCCCCATTTCTCCCCCAACTCTCCCACCAATGAGCCCAGCCCCAGGCCATCATAAATCAACTTTCTGTCTCTATGGATTTGCTTATTCTGGACATTTCCTATAAAAGGGATAATACACTATGTGGACTTTGTGTCTGGCTTCTGTTCCTTAGCATAATGCCTTCAAGGCTCATCCATGTTTTAGCATCTATCAATCAGTACTTTGTTCCTTTCTTTACCACTGACTAATATTCCATGGTATGGTTATACTACATTTTATTTATCCACTTACCAGTAGATGGACATTTAGGTTATTTCCACTTTTCAGTACTATGAGCATCCTTGTATGTTTTTTGTGAGTGTATCTTTTCATTTCTTAGGGTATATACACACATACACACACACACACACACACACACACATATAAACTTACACCCTAAGGATATATATGTATCTATCTGTATCTATATATCTATATCTACCCTTAGACATATACATATATATCTATATATATCATATGGTATGGTAACTCCATGTTTAACTTT